TACTTCTTTCAGAAAAATGCAGTAGGCAGGAAAGAGAGGACTAACATCCTCTGCTCACCGCCTCGGTTTTTTATATTCCCTTTGGTCTGTGATTTGGGGCCGATACATACGAACCCGAGTGAAGCGCCGAGGCCGTCTCTTTCTATGTAGGACAAGCAGTGGTTACCTTCGAAAATATCCCAGATCTATTTATCCTTATAATTATTCCGGAAAGTGACCTTGCACCTAGTTACAAATGAATCTCTCGAAAGATCTATCAAACTCTACCAAAAAACGTGCACTGAATTCCTCCCCCTTCCCGTCCAGGTGCATGTTGCGCACATATCACCATCGCAGACAGTTCTGACCAGCACACTCATCACCCGCTGTCGTCTTCTGCGTCACTCCTGTCGAGGCACTTACGCGACGGGGTTGCTTTCGCTGCCCATGTACGCGCTGATGCAACAACATGAATATGGAGGCCTTCGTGAGCCCCCATTTTCCTTTTTTACCCAAGAAACAACCGTCGTACAATACTTAGTAACCCCACCCACAAGGGTGATTTTTCACGGCGCTGCATCCATCGCAGGCCTGCAGTCACGACTTTCACTGGATAGTTGCACTTTCTCAAATCTTGACGTATTGTTAGCACATTGAGGCCTTTGACGTCGTCGCTGTTCGAATTTTGTCTGATTCGAAAAAACGTATTCGCGACTTTGGCAAATTTTGATGTACTTGGCCCATACGATGCTCTTGTATGTCTGGAAACTGAGAGGTTCAGAGGACCAGATCAAATCCGAGTTCTTAAACTTGTGCGACATTACAATTTGCTGCTCGTCACATACAATAAACCTTGTTTCAAGGAAATCCAGAATGCCTACACCCGGGTCAGTCCGTTTCAAAACCAGGATTTCCGGGTAGCAGTGCGTTACTTGGTCGAGCCTGCTATTGGCTTCAATTCTTGCATCTGGTACCGTCTTATAGAACAACGACACAATAAACAGGTCATCAATGTAGCAGTTTCCAATAACTAGCGATTGGTCCGACCTGAGGCCCTTCAGAAATTGATTCTCGACATACATGCACATTATGCAGGCGAGTGGCGGGCTAGCACGTCCCCCCATGGGGATACCTCTTTTTTGTCGGACCACCTCGTCGGTAGCCAAGAAAACCGTGTTCGCAAGCAGGAACTTCGTGAGCACTGCCAAATCGGTTAGCCGAACAGACTTCCAGCCTGCTTCGCCCTGGGCTTTGTGGAAATGGGAAGCTTTCTTTCGAGGATTCACCCGAATCCATTTCACAGATTTGGCTGCAAAACAACCAATGATCCAAGAAACAGCTTTCCTAATTTCCTCGTGCGGAAGCTGAGTAAACATTTCCTTTATATCGTAAGTACGGGCCACAATCCCAAGTTTCCCTCCCCCTTTGTCCAATCTCTCATTAATATTCCGGATTTCAGTTTTTAGATCACTCATCGTCCGTAAGTTAAAATGTCGCTCATCTGTCTGAGAAATGAGGGCATTCAGTGCTGTGGACAACACGCCGGACGCAGCCCTAAAGGGCCTCATACAATACCGGGCGTTCGATCCAGGTTTCACTGAGGTTACAATCCAGGGGGGAAAAGGACGAGCCCACTCAAGGCTTGCTTCACCCCTTTCACGTACTCAGTTAGGACACAATCTTCCATCATTGGTTCCCCGCGCTTAGTAATCTGCAGAAAATTACAATGCATGGTGCCTGCAACGACATTCATATCTCGCAGGCAGTCAAGAGCCTCATTACAGGCACGGTTTGCCCCTTTCTTGGACACCGTCGAGCCAGGAAAGGGTACGTTCTTAGCATTAAAAAGGAACGGATGCAGCCCAGCTACCTCACTCTGTTTAACTGCCACATGCCCGTTAGTCTTGGGCAGGTCGAAATCAGCACAGGTGCATTCAAAGCACGACTGTTGTGCGAACGATTTTTGATTATGCAAGAGATCTGCAATAGATCTGGCTTTCAGCCAGACTACCCTGGTCCTCCTCGCATACAAGTCACCGAGTTTGGTAGGTTGGACATGGTCCAAAATCCACTGCTTCACCTCAGACTCAACCTTCGTTTTTTCTATCGTGGTACAAAAGGGAATTTTTACAGTAATCTTTGCATGTGGGTTGATTCCGAACCTGTTCTTGAATATTGTGGTTAGTATTCCACGAATCGTCTGTCGTTCCCTCGGCTGATTCAGAGTCTTAACTGCATTGTTAAGGTCGACCAGCTCCTCAAGCGATAATCTATACAAGTCACGACGCTTCCACGGGGCACGCAAAAAAACAATTAACTCATGTTTCAGCAAATCAGTCTTTGTAACCGTTCTAAAAAGGCTATAGACCGTAATCAGGCCACCTTCTTCGAAATGTGATTTCGCATCTTTTAATAAAAGCTTCTTGCCATGGCATTCAACCTTGGAAAAACCAAACAGGAGAGCAACCAGGCGCCACGACTTCAGCCATCTACCATCTGGCTTATTCACTATCTCGACCGGCTTCCTGCTTTTTCTTGTTTTGGCAAGCTTTAAAATCCTCAGCAGGTCAGGATCATTCACGACCCCAACTTTTGGGCAATTAAAAACAACGGTTCCACAACCTGGGATGGCTGACACCCAGTCTGCTTACGAGACTTCGACCCCTTAGCCCTTCGCAATTTTCGACTTTTTCAGCCTCTCGCGTTCAATCCGGGGTTACAATCCTTAATAATGACTTGCTCAACATGGTCAATCATGTTCCCATCACCAAACCAGATGGGAATAGGGACATAATGCCCCAGCACTACCTTACTAATCCAGGTGTGCACCTTTTGCTTACTAATCCCCTTCGCAGCCCTTACGTGTTCCATCTATCGTTCGCTTAGTGTACGAGTGGTCTTACCCACATACACTGCTTTATGAGACAACAACATTAGGACATATATGCAGCTATGCCCCTCCAACATCCGATCCCATTCTTCTGGTGCCACACGTAACCAGAATGGAAGGTATAGCCGGCCCCAGGCAATTTCCTCAGCTAGGCAAGCACTGAGAATCACAAGGACATGCAGTTTCTCAAGCAAGTGAGCAAGTGAATTATCAACGATCAACTTTAAACGAGCAATACGATTACATGCTCGTCGCTTCGATCGAATACTCTCTCCGATCAGTTTCCCTTAACTGGATTGTCAGACATAGAGGGCTTCTCCCTCCAGCCGATCGTGCTTCAGTCTTACGTGACGACGGTTCCGGAGCATTATCAAGCCTTTCGCCTTTCAGCATGTCCGTGTATTCTCGGAGGTCAATCTTCGCCAGTTCCCATGCTCCAAGATCCTTCTTGAAATAGGGGATGCCTTTATGTTTGCACAGGTCCTGGACACGCGTGTAGTGCAGAGAGCTATAGAATTCCTGCGTCATCTTCATGTACGCAGCGAGGCCCCCTTCATCGCTTTCTTCCTCGTCCTCTTTGTTGGTTGCGTTCTGGACGAGATCCTCATTTTCATCCTCACTCGGTACCTTGTCCCCTGGTGCCGAAGCTGGTGCATGCTCAATGATGGGGGTCTTTCCTTTGGCATCCGCTAGGCCATTCAGCAGCGCAGTCAGCATGGTCTTGATGTCGGCCAGCTCACTGCTTGTCTCCATCTTAGGCTGGAGTTTTTGCTTCACCGTGCCTGCCTTGTCACTTTCGTCATCTGACGATACATTTATGCGCTTCGTCCGTGGCTTGGTCTTACTACCCCGCAAACTGACTCGGTCGATTCGAGGTGAGTTACCAATCGGCGTACGTTCAACCGCCCGCTTTCGCTTCTCGCTACTCGACAACTCCCGCCCCCCATTCTCCGTTGTTTCCTTTCCAACGAGAACTTTCTCCAGGGCGGCTTTCTCCTCTCGCAGCTTCGCCAATTCGGTTTTATCAACAACGGACACTTTCACCTTCTGATCTACCTCCTGAAGCTTCTCTGTAATGAGTTTGGGAGAGCTCCCAAATGTCGTCATGACCCAAACTTTCATCTCGGCAGTCTTGTCAGCAGACTTCGATTCTTCAGCGGAGCGCACGTCCGATCGACTTCCAGCATCTAGCGAGTCGGCAATGCATACACTGGTTCTACGATTCCCAGATAGCCGCTTCTTCGCCTCCTCAACGGCTTTGTTCATCTTGATGTCTTCTAGAATATCCATGTATTCTTTCGTGAAGTACGCTCTGTTGCCTGGTCCAGGAAATTCATTCGCCGCCGGGTCTTTACGAGCATTTCCGCTTGGAGCATTGGTCGAGCCGCTCGATACTACTTGGTGTGCTGCAGTTTGGTTGACTGGAGGAGGATTCACAGGAGGCGGCATACTAGCAGATGGCGGAGCACCCCACTGCCCATTGATCGGCCACTGCCTGGGCATCTGCCAAGGTTGAATGCCCCAAGGTTGCGGAATAGGTCCGTGCTGAGCCATCGGAAGCTGTGCTGGTTGCACAGGATGCAACGGTTGCTGCACAGGTTGCGCATGTTGCACAGGTTGTACAGGGGCGGCGGCCAGCGTTGCGATCGGTTGCTGATATGGCACCCCATAGTGGTGCTGATTGACGCCGGGAGGGTAGACTGTACCTGGCACGTTATACGTGGCCTGGTTAGTCTGCCCACCGCTCCCACTTCCGCTGTTCTCCATCCAGTAGCGACCGTCGTTAGACCAACGTCCACGTCGACCGCCAATTTTGCTACCACGTCCTCGTCCAGTCATGCGACCGATAGTGAAGCCGGCCACGATCCCGCAGCTCACGCTTAGTGCAATCGCCCACTTTGCCTCCGCCGTGCTCAACAGTGACACTTCTCGCCAATTGATGCAGATCACCATTCACCACTTGCGTCCGATTTGCGTTGCACAGGGCTCTCACGTGGCTTGGGGTCTTCGGTCTTGACGTGTATCTTCTCCTGCAAGTCGGAAGTGCAAGGCGGAAGCGCAAGAGCCTGACCGAGGGGATCTGAGAGTTGGCTGCTGGTCCCTTCAGATAAAGACGAGACACAAGCCAGCCCCGTTGTTTATATGACCATACTAACCCGAGACCAACGGCGATGGTTTCAGGCATGCGCAAAAAAATCCTCAGAACCAGCTGGTCAAATACGAGTGAATTAGAGAAATATAAGTCATAAAATAATCGTACAAAATGATCGAAGATAAAAAAGCAATCGAAACTGGAAAGCCAAATTCGAGAATGATACTTTACCAAGTGACAACAAATAAAAGCAAGTGACGAATACTAAGAAAGCTGGTAAACCGCTTGTAAAAAACAGTGAATTCATCAACAAGGAAACCAAATGAAAACCGCGTGAAAAATCGCGTGAAGACAGATGAAGGCGAATGAAAGCAAATGCAACGCACAAGTATATGAAAGGCACTAGTAAAAGTACAAGTATAAATATAAGCATAAAATAAGTATAAAAAATTCTTATGCACGACTATGCACAACTACACGACCGTGTTGTCGGCACCCTCCGCACGTTCCCAAGCCACGGCAAGGTCGAGCGTAGGGCTCCTACCATCAGCAATCACAATATGGTACTCAATAAGGAGAAGAAGGAGACATGAGTTTTAATATCATGGCGAAATCACCATCTCCCCGGCATCTCCCCGACTTCCACCGTCGAGGATCTCAATCCTTCTACTCATTCACCACTCAGATTGAGGAAACTTCAACCTAGTACTGTCTTAAATATTACTTCATCCCGAGGTTTGCGGCGCATACGCTGCGCGACCACCGATACTTTAATTAAATTAAATTCTAAAAATAGCAAAATGCAAATTTTGTTTCTAGTCCCGTCCAGGGACCACCGGCTCTGCGGCTTACTTCTTTCACTAAAATGCAGTAGGCGGGAAAGAGAGGACTAACATCCTTTGCTCACCGCCTCGGTTTTTTATATTCCCTTTGGTCTGTGATTTGGGGTCGATACAAACAAACCCGAGTGAAGCGTCGAGGCCGTCTCTTTCTACGTAGGAGAAGCAGTGGTTACCTTCGAAAATATCGCAAATCTATTTATCCTTATAATTATTCCGGAAAGTGACCTTGCACCTAGTCACAAATGAATCTCTCAAAAGATCTATCAAACTCTACCAAAAAACGTGCACTGAATTCCTCCCCTTTCCCGTCCAGGTGCATGCTGCGCACGTATCACCATCGCAGCCCGTTCTGGCTAGCACACTCATCACCCGCTGTCGTCTTCTGCGTCACTCCTGTCAGGGCACTTACGCGACGGGGTTGCTTTCGCTGCCCATGTACGCGTTGTCGGCGCGAATACCCTTACAAGGGTATCCGCCCTGGTTTTTGCAAGTGACAGAAAATAGTTTGGTTTAAAGTTTAGGTATACCGCGCTAGGCGCGACTCCGTCTGTAATTGCGTTGACTGGGTGGTTCACCACGATAGAGAGTGTGTGGACACGCGGATTTTTGAGGTGCGCGTGATCGTTTTATTTTGTTGATGATTGAAGGGTCGGCGTGACCGCCGGCCATATTTTTGACTAAGCAGGAATTAGGGATGCTTTCCTTTGATTGGTATGTTTGACCGGGTCGGGCGCGCGTGCGAAGGACGACCTCGACGGCGACGACGACGGCGACAGTGTGACTGTGGTAGGTCTTGGCACGCGGAATGGTGTGAGCGGCTGCTGTGGTACACCTTTGGTAAGTCGGCGCAGACGCTAGGCAGCCGCGCACACGGTTGTAGGCAGAGATGAGGCTCAGACCGATTTTCCCTGGCCCTGAGCGTGGCGCCGCACCGCCTCATATGGCACTCCGCGGGTGTGGGTCTCAGGCTTGGGCTTAGCCCTATAGGTTACAACGTTGAACTACTGCTACGGAGGTTTGGGTTCGAGGCCAGCGGACGACATCATGGGAGTGATGGAACAGCGAGGAACCGATGGGGTTGAGGGCCGCCAGGGCTATCCCCCTCGGTTTTGTTTACGGGCGTGGCGGCGAGCCCGATCCGCGGGACTGGGGAGGGGCCAACAGCCCCGCTGTTCCCCGACAATGTTATGTTTAGCTCTGTTTTATTTTATTTTTCTTATTTTCCTGGTTTTTATTTTTGGTCCCTTTTATCGCGTCCCGTTTGGGAATGCGAAAGTGCGATGGGGTCGCATGAGATGTGGGGAATTCGCAGGATTGCCTGAAGTGCAATTACAAACTACTTTTGTGGTTGTGCTGGGGCCGCGCCCCGTTGCCTTGAGACACGGTGCCGTGGGTGAGACGAGGGGCAGTAGTCACTTCCAGGGCCTAAGGGCCGAGCTCGGTGGGCACGCCTATGAACTGTCGAGATAGGGGTTTAGAAATGGGGCCGGGTGAGAAAAGCCCCAAAAGGCTGAGAAGTGCCCGGGGTCCGGGGCTCGGAGAGCTGCGGGTGGGGCACTGCTATGACGAGGTCCTCTGGGACTTCTGTTAAAACTGGAAGAAAGCAGAAAAGATCTGCTGATAGTTGCGGTGGGGTGATGCACTGAGATCCGGAACGAACTCGGTCGTAGGGTGCGCCGGGTACGTGTGAACAAGAGGGTGGCCCCGTGGTGGGATCCGCCCGGCGGCTGCCTGTTGCGGCAGCGAACAGGCACCGACTTGCGGGAGGTCCTTCGGGGTATCTGTTAAAATTGGAGCGATCCAGAGAAGATTAGCATGGCCCCTACGCCAAGATGATGTAAGCTCGTCGGGAGTGAACCCGGACGTGAATTGGGCTAGGCGGGGGCGAAAGGCAAAAGGGGCGTGGGGCTTTGACTCCACTATGACGTGTTGCCGTGGGCGCTGTCCTTCGGGACATCCATAAAAAGTTAGAACGATACAGGGGAGATTGGCACGGCCCCTGCACAAGCACGACACATATAAACGGACGGGGTCCGATGGCCGCACGGTTGTTGCTCGGCAGTCGGTAGCCCGTCGGACTGCGCAGCCGCGGAAAGGCCGGGTGACGTCAACAGGTGGGCAGGGAGAATGAACCCGACCGACGAACCACGCCGGGTGCAGGCGAAGAAGACAGTGGGAAGGCTGGCTAAGCACAACCAACGGGGTAAGAGAGACGACGGGCCGGGCGTTGAAGCGCAAGGAGGGCGGATGAACCCGGACCGGGGATCGGGCTAGGTGCGGGTAGAGACTAAGTTGGGGATGGCGGGCGACAGCCTGGGCGCTGCGAAGTGCAGGCAGGCAGCGGGGGTGCGGGCGACTATCGGGCTAGCGCTGAGACAGCGGAGGAGGAGGCAAGGACGGCGGGGTAGCGAAGACAAGCAGATGAACCTGGACGTAGGCGGCGCCAGGTGCATTCGAAGCAGAGACGGCGGGGTAGAAGGCTCGAGGCGCAGCGAAAGGGGGATGGCATATGCGATTCTCCAAGGAATCGAACGAGGAAAAGGTCGTGGTAGGGTTTTCTGAAGTAGGCGAACCCGAATACGAGGTTAGATTTGTAGAAAAGTTAGTATAGATAGAGGGTAGTAGAGAAATAGGTGCGCGGAGAGATGGTGGGCGTGAAAGTGACAGAGGGAGTGGCGAGTGAATCTGGACGACGAACGCGTCGAGGTGCGTGCGTGGGCATACCGGGCGATGGCAGGAGCTGGGCGCAGTGGAGAACTCGTCATACTCCCGGTTCTGAACGGAAACGGGAGGGGAAAGAAGGTGCCCTTGGGGGTCTGCCCCGGACGAGTTATAGCAGGCGGCTAGTTTTGGGATGGAGTGAGTGACAGCGGAGTCACGAAAGAACGAAGCCGCACGGGTTACGGCGGGATGAAGGAGGAGAGGAAAACGGGCATAACTCGCCTGGTTCTCGATGAAGTTAGGCGGGATAAAACGTTAGTCCGAGGTTTTAGACCGGGGCGACTTCGATTTTGGTGTCAGTTTTAGAGGAGGTGTTAGTAGTTCAGAGGTTAGTATGAAATAAGATGCGCGGAGCTATGGCGAGTAGAGGAAGGGGTGAGGGTAAAGATTGCATAACTCACCTGTTCCTCGATGGAAACGGGTGGATGAAAGTTTTGTTCGGAGGTTTTAAGGGGGCGCGAACCAAACGGGGAGGTCAAATTGGTACGGGAGGAAGTGTAGGAAGAGCTAGGCGGAGAGAGTTGGGCGCGGAGGCGCTCGAAAGTGGGTATGGTCGGGAGTGGAGCTCGCGTATCTCGCTCGTTTTGTGGTGAAACCGAGCGAGAAAAGACTCGTTTTGGAGGAATCTAAACAGGGCGAGTTAGATAGGATAAGTAGTTTTGTCAATAGAAGGGCTGCGTGGAGATAGGGAGGAGGGCCGGAAGAGAGACCGAGTCCGACGGGGGAACGGACCTGGAGGAGGAAATGCGGTGGGTGCATGCACAGATGGGCAGGGCGCAGCGACGTGGAAAGGAGTTATGACGAAGTGATAATTGTGGCTCTCGCCCGAAATCCCCCCGCATGTTGGCAGGAAGTTCACTCCAATCCTGATCTACTGATGAGGAAGGTAGYGAGGGACCAGCCCCTGTGTCGGGGGCTTACTGTTGCTTACWCCCGACTAAGAAKGTGGGGGYCGATAATCTSCGGAGCTKGACCGTGATGTGGGCTGATCGGCAGTCGCCTTGCTCTSTGTCRACTGCGTGAGTGTCCCCGACTGCGACCCRTTGCTGCGCTACTGCCTGGGCCCCGMGTACSTCGCATGAGGACCGTTGTAGGATGGTGGGCTCACGGTGYCGGGTGATCGGGTTGTTGGTGTTGCCATATGCTCCGTGGCTTCACTGATGTGCTACCCACCTGCAGGYSTGGMCRCGGGCCGGAGACTTACCTGTAGATTGGTGGCCTCGATCGGAGCGCCAGGCCAGGGACTGSTGCATACCATCGTGACTTGACAAAGGGCTCAACCKGTTTTGSTAAACTCACCGCCCGAAGCAGTGAGGAACAGGGYGGCGGGGCCGGAAGTTTACCCGYTGGCCTGGACATTATTCGCTGCCAAACAACGGAGGAGTGAGGAACARCAAGCGAGATGTAACTTGGACGCCTATCTGTGGAGGGTTGCGCCGCCCACGTGATTGAGTGGGAGCTACGGCTGGTGAGTCA